AACTCCCAGCAACAGTCATCTTATCCTTTTCAAAAGGCTATTAAATAATGCTGAATCAGATATTGTGTTTCTGCGTAAAGAACAAATTAGAGAAAGTTGTGCTGAAAGATTACATGGACTTTATGATTTTGATTCTATTTTATATCCTGTGACTTTTAGTGAAAGCACTAATATGAAAGCAGTTATATTTTTAATAATAGATAAATAGATAAATAAGTTATATTTTTATAATAGATAAATCTATTATAAATAATAATAAATAATAGATCAATAATAGAAGGACAAACAACTTGTCCTTGTCACTGTGTACATATCTATATGTGCTTTTTGTGACCACACATATAATTAATCTATGTTTCCTGTATGTAAGGTACTGATATTTGTCCAGTAAAAATTGTTGGGGTTTTACAAATTTTTCTAGTATAGCAAATTAAGATACCAATATTTTGCATGCTTTTGCATATTCAAAATGAATTACTCAGCTTGCTTGGGAATACTGTTTTTATATTTTAGCTGTTTGGGCAAAAGGGCCTTTTATCTTCATACAGCTTCTGGACTCAGGTGTTTGGATCAGGATGTTAATATGGAGACTATGTGCATTTGTGTGATTAGTGGTTTTGTGGTTTTACTGAGCGTCAGTAGAGTTTTATTTGTCTGGGAATATTTGTTTGTTTAATGGAATTCTTTGTTTTTATCTTGTTTGCCACCCAGAGTTTTTTGGATAGTTGGCAGCCATATATATATTAAATAAACAAATAATAAATAAATAGCCTATAATTTCTGTGGAGAATTGAGTGATACACCTTTGGCTGCATAACTTCATATATAAAATACATGTTCTTATCTAGAACATATATTACTGACAATACGTCGTGATTAGTTATACAGTTGACTGAAACTTTCTCTCATGGAAAGTTGGGGAGTGAAAAGGGGAGCAGTTATACAGGGCTGGCTGATGACTTGAATGAGAATGTTTTAATTTATGCTCTATTTCTTTAAATGCATAATATTATGCTATTCTTGTGGTAGGAATAACTCCTGTGAAAATGTAGTATTCCTCCTAAGCTCTGTTTTGCTCTGTACCTTTGCATTTAGGTGTAGTTTCATTATTCTTTATTATCGGAGTTTTCCCATTTCTTTCAAGCAGTTTATGATAGTACATTTTTTTAAATCAGACCTTTATTATTTTATAAATAACTCAATTTATATATATAATACCTAATAACTAAAACTCCTTCCTCTTCACAACAACAACCCTCTGAGATGAGTTGGGTTGAGAGAGAGTGGCCCAAAGTCACCCAGCCGGCTTTCATGTTTAAGGCGGGACTAGAACTCAACAGTCTCCTGCTTTCTGGCCTGGACCTTTAACCACTAGACCAAACTGGCTCCACTTGACCATCTAGTCAAAAGTTGAGAAGCAATAGCAGATTAGGATTTAAGAACAAGTGTGCTGTAATGGAATGGGTTTATTATTATTTTTTTGTTCATCTGCAAAATTGTGTATTTAATTATGCGGAAACAGAATTTTCCATTTTGGTATTCTTACTGTCATTGAACATCTTATTTCTCTGTTTTTTAATTGTATCCCAAAAAGGAATAGACACCAGCTTAAACAGAATTTTGTAGTTATATTTCAGTTTTATTTATTTGCATATTAAAGGATTCAGCTATCACAGCAATTGACAGTACTCTAAGTAATGTGCAGTATCCAAAACTGATAACATATTATGGGAGTCAGGCAGCATATAGATGATGATGATGATGATGATGATGATGATGATGATACAATTTAATACAGATTAGTAAAAAAACAAAACAAAATATATTCTGGGGCTGATGGCTCCATAGTAAACAATCCCAAAAGATCTGGAAATACCTTTATAAAATAAGTTTAATAACTTACTTGTAATGCTCTTTCATTATTAAGAAGTAGAAATTTAATTTCTTAATACAACTTGCCCAAATATTTGTTTTCTTTCATGCGACTGCTTTATATACGTATGTAGTATATTGCCTAGCACACAAATTATCTTATATTCACAACAAATTTTATTGCAAATGAGGATACACGTTACTGAGGTGATGCAAATGAAATGAAAAATAGTAGGGAATAAATTTGCTCTGCCACGTAAATTATGATTTAAATAAAAACACATGATTTATTGTTCTTACCAATATTATTACCACATTCATCAAATCAAGGTATATATCAAAGGTAAGCTATGGGAAAGCATGCAGTTTTCCCTAGCAACTGTCAGTCTGTTTCCAATATAAAACTGTAGTAGTATTGAATGGGATCTATTGATATTGTGTATATCTTGTGTGTGAGTGTATGATATTCTCTTCTAGCACCTTCTGGGTAACCATTGTTTATTTTATGAATACAATATAGTCCTAATGTTACATTAAATAATAAGTCATTAGGACATTTACTACTATTTAGCTTTTGTGTCTATTCATCAATATACTGGGATGCTATGGCAAAAATGAGAAGTTGTGAAATCATGTATTATAACTTGAAAAGTTGTACAATTTTGAGAGGCCTAGGCATTGTTTTATGGTTATTTCATTCTTCCTTCAATAGCCATTTTCAGAAAGTAGCGCTGGGCAACTACTGTTCTGCTATATGGCAACCATCATAGGAATTGTCAGGGCTTAATTTAATCTCTCATGCTATTTAACACTGCTGAGGAAGATTATCTGGGGATGTGAGTTGCACAGTCATCAAATGTAGATGACAGCCAGTTTCATCTCACCTTTCTGTCACCAGGTGAGGCAGTGAATGTTTCTAGAGGTAGGCCAACAATATAAGGTTGATTCAGGCAAGATAGAAATAATGTTGGAGGGCAGTTCATCTGTCTACGGAGTAGGGTCTGGTATGCTCCCAAAGGGATCAGTGCTCAGCATGGGGGGTGCTCCTGGATACATCATTCTTATTAAAGGCTTAGATGGCGTAAAGAACACCTTTTCTCTGCCTAGTCTGATAATTCTAGTTTCAACTCTTTCTGTTTTGATTATTGCAGTGATAATACCATAGACTAAGATTGAAAATGTTCAAATAATTAAATTAGCCTAATATAGAGCTGCTACTTTATTAACTGGGATTGGTACATGGTTCAAGTGGAATCAGTGCTTTGTTAGTTGTAAATTCTAATTAGTTTATAAGCCCCATATGAATAATTGACTTAGCTCCTAGTACAGAAGATACAGTTAACCAGATTACCCATCAATCCAAACATTTTGGATTAGTTTCTGGGGTTAGTTATTTGGATTGGTAATTGCAAGACATCTCCCCTCATGTCAGATCCATATCCTTCCTAACTTAATGAAACAAAACTTTTAGAATGCATGCCTTAAACTATAAATTCTGGCTGTTGAAAAGAATCTTCTCCTAACCTAAAGTTTTTCTAAATAGGTTGCTCAAATGCTTATGCAATTTTGTATGTTGTAAAAATTCATGATGATAAAAACAAATGAAATCCACAGGAAGTATATTAAAATGATTACAATAAAAAAAATCAAATAATTCACAAACTCAGTCTAATTTTTTACTCCACATTTTGCTCATGTACCTTAAGGTGCTTTCAACCTTAACACAGAAGCACATCAATAAATTTCCCTCTCCTATTTAATGAAATCATTTCTATGTGACAAATAGTATTCTACTAATTATGTACTCTCCAGTGAAGATATTTAAGAGTCAGGAGGAATTTAATACTTTTTGCTTGAGATTTTTCTCTCTTCCTATTCATCAGAATAAAATCTTTTACTGCTGATTTATATTTGCTTGTCTGGAGTATAGAATAGCATATTTTAGGAAATATTTCAAATATTTGTTTCCGTAGCCAAATTAAGTATAGGATGGAAGCTCTTTTTTCTTCTTTAGATTCTTGATGTACATTTTAATGTTCATATTGACATATATCTATTCCATTTTTTTTCTGCGTGTGTCTCCATTACATTACATTTCACTATACTGTACTCAAGTCTATCCTGCAAGATAAAGCAGATTTTATACTTTAATCTTTGGATTAAACTTTAATTTTTGGATTATACTTTAAGCCTTGGACAAGTACATCAGCTGCAAAAGTATAAAGATAATATTTGGAGAATGAGACCTGATTTTTCTTTATGGGAAATCACAATAGCCTGCCACAAATGATTTTTCTTAGTTCTTACAATAAGCTTCCCAAGCTTTATGAGGCTAAATTACTGGGTAATTATGGAAGTTGCATCCCACAGACAATACATTTTGAGAACCCTAGGTTGATGAAGCCTAGTTTAAGTTTATCTATGCTTTCTATTTCTGAAAGCTGGGTTCACCATTCTTCTACTGACAGTTCCCAAAATGAAATATTTGTGTTTCAATACATTTATCCATTTGTATAAGGTGGTTCAGAAAATCCCAAGAAATATTTTCCTAAAAGTCTTGTCTGATTACATGAATATCTGGCAATCATAAAACTGATATCTGCTTACATTTAACAAAATCATTGTCCTAAAGATGATATTGTCTATTATAACATCTGGGAATAATAACATTTTCTCCAAAATCAAGCACTTCAATAGTTTAGCCAACTGAGCAGATTATAGGAGTTAAAATATGGTAATAATTAAAGAAGTGAAATTTGAGGAGGATTGCTGGGTAAATCTGCCAAAATATAATTTGTATGACTTCTGTTAAGCTAGAAATCAAAATATGTCATGTTGGGAATGTGTACAGAGAAGATGTTCTGATCACTTTATATTGGATTTAATTTTAAAGGATGAAGTACAGGAAATCTGCAACATATAAATGGAAAATGGCAGCAGTTGAAATGTGTACAGTATTGTAAAGTCACCAATATACTCCCCAGTTAAACTGAATCTGATGTTTCTCAACTTATTAACATCACCTTTTCCAATGCATAGACTATATATGCTTAATTTATTGTAACATAAAAACATAATAAAAAGATAACCAGATATGAATTTAAATCATTTTACTTTGTTTTAACCAGCCACTTGTATCTAGAAGTCCTACAAGCAGTGTTGCAACACCATCCAGTACTGTCAGCACACCTACTAAAAGAGACAGCTCAGCCCTCCAGGACCTCTACATACCACCACCTCCAGCAGAGCCTTATATTCCCAGGTGAATTATCACAATTGATCATACTCTTAATTCTACTCAATGGTATAAGAATGTGCAGTGATCCATGTCTAGGGGAAAAAAAGGACGTGATAATGTGTTATTACTGTATTATAAATATTGGAGTATTGTATACACAAAAGAAGAAAGGTGTTAATAATTCATTGATCATTCAGTGTCCAAAACCCACATATCCCCACACATAGAATCTCAAACTGGCTATGTATTCAGGAAAAGGTACTAACTTTACGGCAGTGATGGGCAAACTGCATTTGCCAGAACCACTGCAATTTCCCTCCTTGTTAAGGAGAGAAACAGATAAGAACTGTAGTTTAAGCCTGAAAAGAGGCAATTAAAAAAACAAGCAACTGCTTTCAAAACTCCTCCCAAATCCAACCGTAGTATGGTGGCTCCATCCATTTTGTAGCTCTGTATCTTTCAAATGTTAAGTGATTCTCCTACTTTAGAGAAGGAGCCTCATATGTATTTTTTGTGATATTGCTTTCTCCATTTTTATTGGCAAACAGAAGCAAAAAAGAAAAAAAGATACCAAAACCACCAGTGAAAACAGCAGTTTATCCTCATTATTGGATGCAATCAGTATTTTTGTTTGAAAAGTCTCCTGATTCTTTTTTATATTTTGGCAGTTGGTTTTAGACAAATTATATCAGTAAAACATTTTGAGTTTTGAGTTCAGAATGCATACATTGCCTTCTTTCAATTTGTTTGTCTTGCAATTGGATATTCGTTGGCTTTCTACCTTGAAAACCCATACAAAAAAACATGCTAATTCACCTACTAAAAAAAGTTTCAATATACATGTGGAACTGAAAGCAAAAAACAAAACTAATAGACAAAATATTCAAAGATTAACTCTTAGGACAAATTTACTCACTAGTTAATAAAAAAGCATTAGGGTCCTTTTTTAAAAAAAAAATGATGCTACTACTCTTTGTTGCAATTGCAAAGCCTGTATTTGGTCCCTGGAATTGGTGCTAGATAGATACAAATGTCTTGCTCGGTGTTGCAAGTTCCATATGATTATCTTGAACTGAAGTCACAAGTATCATTTAAAAATGCTTAAGCATTTATAACTAGCAAAACAGAAACCAAAACAAGACCTCAAAAAAGAGCCTTGCAAAAAAAGGGGACAGGGAATTCCAGTTGCCATGAAAGTATATTGTTTTACCTGGAGAAATGTTTACAACAGCAGCTCTTAATTTCAGGATACACAATGTACAAACAAGAACATGATTCTGTTGTATAACCTGCCCTTCCAACAAGGGAATCAGAAAAAGCATGTGTGCTACAAATTCATTCATTCATTCATTCATTCATTCATTCATTCATTCATTCATTCAAGAATGTGACATGCTAGCTTTGTTACTTTCACAACTGAAAATATTTCAAGCATCTTTTAGATATTACTACTACATCAGGATTTGATGCATATGGTTAGAAACACAAAATACAGAGAGTAATGAATGAAGGAATAAAGAAAATGGAAATATTAATCCTCTTAGATGTGAATTTGTAAGACACATGCTGCCAGAAGGGACAATCCAGGCATACAAATCTAAGCTCATATAAGGTTCTGATATTACAGATAATAGTATGCTGCATAGTCAAGTTCCAAAAGGCAAATAAGTTCCTCATTGTATATGTGATTGATTGCAGCAACCGTTTCTGAATATTCCTTGTTAAATGAATCAGAAAGCCCTATTTGATTCTCACCACAACATAAATTGTATAACCCTTCCAAATACTTGCTATGCTAGGTATAGAATAAGGCTAAGCAAAATTATTTGCTTTTCAGTGGGTATTAAAACTTTCAAGTTCATCTCCTAACTAAATTAATTCTGCTTGCAATAAGCAACTTTAACACAAGGAGAAATAGGAATTACTGAAATATTTAGTGGGAGTTAATGAGAATATGTGCAATAATTTTATAATAATATAGCACAGTATAAGCAGTAACAATCATTTTCATTCTTTAGGCATCTAAAAATATGTCTCCTTACAGAGATGAGAAGGGAAACCTTCCATGTGATGATATTGGAAGACACCTAGTGGGAAAGCCAGTACATAAAGGATCTGAATCTCCAAATTCATTTCTTGACCAAGAATATCGAAAGCGTTTTAATGTTGTTGAAGAAGATGCCATTTTGTATTGTTATGAATATGAAAAAGGAAGAACAAGTAGTTCTGGAAGAAGAGAAAGCACACCAACATATGGTATGTATTAATTTATTTAAAAGCTACTCTTTCTAGATTTGTTTCTATTTATGTTTCCAATCCCAATTATATAAAATTTGTTTATACCTATAAAAGTGAAATTACCATATCTTTCTTCTCACATTATTTCTCTTTTGTACTTTGTTAAATCTAATCCCAGCTGCAGAAGACAGTTTTTGAAACCTTCTGAATTGGCCAAGGATTGTTCATTGAAATACAATCCTTGACAGCTTTGCATTGACAGGAAGATAAGAAGGAAAGTAAATGAAAGTTGATGGATATTTGAGCAATATTAATTTGCATAAGCTACCATTTTCATTTGTGCAGAGTTGCATTCTTTTATTTAATTTGATAAATTAAAACTGGAGTGTTATAATTAGCTGTAAGCAGTCATTTCAACTTCAGACTAGATCTGGACTTTCTTAATTTTTGAGTTAATTTGCAAATAATTATTGCACAAACAGGAGAACAGGGAGATCCATACTAAATGGGGAAAAAACATAAAGGCCCATTGAATTATTCAAACTAACTGTTTTTGCTTCTGAAATTCTTAGTATCTTAATGTTATTTTGAGTTCTCAGCTCCCAATCCTACTATGCACATAAATATTCATGGTTGATGGTAATGAATGCCACTAAAAGATCCAGGAAAACAATTCAAGTAGCGCTGGCCCTGTCCATCTCCAAATTCCTATCTTTTAGTGGGGTCATCAGGACAGTTTCTATTCCAAAAACAGATGTAAGACCAGGCTGAATCAGTCTAAAAAAGGAGAGAACTTGTACAAGTGGATAATTTGCTAAATCCTCAACCATGCAAAGACCTCCTGCTTGTATGTGGGTGCATTGTTTTGGGTATGTGAGGATCCCAAGTCTCCCCTTAGCATTACTAGCAGAAGGAATGATTCTGCTTCTGTAAATGAGATTCTATTTCTTGCAATTATCTTAATTATTTCAAAAATCCATGTGGCACACAGAAAAAAAAATACAACATGGTAAGGAAGCATGGTAAACATAATAATTTTAAAAACTTTAAAAACTTTAAAATTCAAAAATGAATACTACAGTCTCAACCACAGATAATAGTGAATAAACCACATTAAAGTCAGCTGCATTTAGTTCCTAATAAATATGTATAGGATTTTGCTATAGAAAAAAGAATAGCATAAAGCACACAAGAACAGAGAACCAAAATGGAATCAATGATGTCATAAGAAAATCAAGATAAGGAAAATATGCAAAGCTTAGTTTCTGAATTTTTTTTTCTAACCTTATTACCAGCAGTGGCCATAGGTGATGTAAACTTCTTTACCCAGAAGAAAATGCAAATATGTTGTGTAGCATCTGCTTTCCCTGGTGTGTCTGTGCCCAGTCAGAGTGGGTGCATAAGTATAAGTATCTCTGTCTTTCTGCTCTTCTTTCATGTAGCATCTCTGTGTGTTTTTGTTATGTTTGTGATGGAAAGAACAGGGCAGTCTTCATATTTTCCACTCTGGGTTACATGATGGGAAGGAGAAGTGTGGGAGACTTATAACAGAGTAATTAATAGCATTCTGAATTGCAGCCCAGCTTTACCTCTCATAGGAGATATTTTTTATGCAATATTTTTCTGCACAATCTTGAGAAAGCTTCAGACCATTTTTTCACTTGGTCTTTCTTTTGCTGGCTTCTTGCACCACACCAAATTTGATCCCTTTAAACAAGAGAATAATCCTGATTACCATCCTATAAAACTATCTCTATAAATATATCAACTTTTTAAAGTCATCTATGACAACAAGCATCATCAATTACTGCAGAAATTAATCCTATGGCGTTTGCTAGCCAAATAAATAATAATTCCTTTTAGATTGGAGCATCCTGGATAGTTCTACTATTATTTATTTATTTAGATGTCTTCAAGTCAATGTGACTCCTGTTAACTGCCTGGACTAGTCCCTGCAGTTTTCTTGGCAGGATTTTTGGAAGCGGTTTGCCATTGTCTCCTTCCTAGGGCTGAGAGAGCCTGCCCAAAGTCATCTAGCTGGCTTCATGCCTAAGACAGGACTAGAACTCAGTCTCCCAGTTTCTTGCCTAGTGCCTTAACCACTGCACCGAACTGGCTGTTTCACACTATTTACTGTTTACTTGGTAACTTCATTTCAGGATATTCAGATTTTAATTTGATATTTATAATTATGCCAGGATTTGTAATAATAGTATTAGGTTTGCTGTGTCACACCAAACTATAACGTGTATAGATAATCGGCCTGGCTGTCATATAACATAAATCCTCTTGAATTTGCTTACAATATAGTCTATAGTTAACTTTTCAAGTCTCTATTTGTTATTAATAATAAGTTATTTATTCATATAGTATTTCAGTAAATGGTTTAGGCTCATTAATTTTGTCTTTATTTTAAAATATGAAAATGTGTGTCTGTAAAAACAGAGTTCAGAACTGTTGGACTATCTGATCATTTGTCTGTTTTAACACTGAAAAATAAATTATTGTGGTGGTTTTTATTTATGTTCTTCATAAAGAAATCTTATAATTGTTGACTGCACTATATGATCCTTCAACTTTATTTTAAAAACTGTAGTATCTAAGTAGATATCTACTAGGATCTAAGTTCTAGTGGGGAAAATAAGCAGAATTACGGGAAATAAATAAATATACCCTTACGTTGAACTTACTTTCTTTGTGATTTGAAGCTACAGCAATGCCCAAAGCAGTTAAGCTGTAAATTAAACAGTTTATGTATACCTTACAAAAGTAGAATTAAAATACTGGTAATTAGTACTAGGATAGAAATGAGCACGAGCATTAGAAACTCTGATCTAACTATGTAAAACCATTGGATACAAACCAAGGTACTGTATCTGACATAGTCCATCTAAAGAGTAGACCCACTCAAATCAATGGGTTAACCACACCTAATTGAAATCCCCTTTTTTTCAGTTGGTCTGCTGCAAAAATGGTTAAGTTTGAATTTAATATAAAACATCTAAAAAGGTTGAAATATCCAATTTCAGCTGTGTTTTCTTAAGTTCTAAACTGTTGCCCTGCTTTCCACTCCCATCTTTAATTTTTTTTTTTTTTTTT